AAAATTTCGATCAGATCCTTTTTTTTATTATTAAAAATATTTGCAGTAATTTTTAATTTCGAGGGAAAAAATCAAAATAATTCGTTTTATCAATTGTAAATTTTTGAAATAATTTTACTTAAAAATAAAACTTATATTTTTTTAAATTTTAAGGAAAAAAGTAGTTTTCTATTAAATTAGGTAGTCAAAATAAATAAACATTGAAATTTCTGGATAATCAAGGTTTTTAAAAACTATATTAAATTAAAGCTTTATTAATGATGTTTTATTAAAAAATAGAAATGTTCCAAGCTAAAGTTTGAAAAATTTTAATAATTTTTCTTCCCCTTAATTTTTAAACAAGAATTTTGTTGTGATCAGAAATACCCGACTTCTACCTGGTTTATTTTTACAATTATTCTTATGTCAGACTTGACACGGTATCGTCGTTGTGCCCACCTAGGATGAGAAACGGTAACGTGTTGATAAGTTGTAATATTAATTAAAATAACACTTAAAATGATGAATAACTACAATAATATAATTTAAATAATGGATGTTACAGTTATTATTAAATAAAATATAAATGAACAGTGCTATAGTAATTATTAACAATTACATATTAATGTGACTCTTTATGCAACAACGGTTCAAACACTATTGTAATTGCTAACCTAACTAATAATTGTCTACTGACTAATTAGCTAACTAACTTAACCTCTCTACAATAATAAGGGTTTGTAACACCGTGTTTCCCTCAGCCACATATCAAGTTATCAATCTATAAGGAAGTATATCGGTCTCTGAAATATACGTGCTCGGTAGCGTAAATAATAATAAAAATATTTAATTCATCTTGATAATGATAATTTAGGTTACTATGTTGTAATGTTGCAGAATTTATACTAGTTTTTTTTAATAAATCTTATTAATTAGAGGTGTGTGCAGTAGGTGTAAAGTATTTTATTAGTTGTTTATGTGATAACCTCCACTAGTCAACCGGTCTGATATCTGTCATCCTATCGTTTTTATTAATATTTGGTTTTTTTTTTTAATCAAAACCTAGTAGCTCCGTCAACAAGTACTATCTTGCTTGGCGCGGCTACTAGTTCACTGTCCAGTGTTCCCCCTGGACAGTGGGTAAATAGTAGGCCTTCTGTTTTGGCTGTAACCTTACAATGTAAAAGGTATATTAGAATATATCGGTAATTACATTGCTAAAAGTATTAAAAAAATGTTATTAATTTACTTATACAAAATCGGTTAGACCATGAGTGTAGTAACAGTTTAACTTCCACAGGATCTGTAAGTCCAGATAAATTAATTATTACTTTTAAAGCTGTTACATTGATAATTCAACAACTTAAAAAATCATTTCAAAATATAGTTGTTAGGGAAAAAAAATTCACAAGAATATAAAATTGTTAATTATTGAAAGTACAAGGAAAAGGATATTAAATATATGCAATTCATTTTTGTTTCAAATTCACATCGTACCGATGTTGATTTTGGAGCACTGAGATATTATGAGAAGCAATGCGAGAAATTTTTAAAAATTTATCTTCTTTCAGATAGAAACTTAGAAAAGTTATCTTGTTTAAAAATATATGAATTTAAAAAATAGTAATCGTTATACTCTAAGTTTACTATTTCAGACATTGAGTTTTATGTTTATAATACACTAAAAATTTTAAGTTACTTATAGTCTAAGGAATGAAGTGTACCTATTTCAGTTTGTATAAATTTGTATTAATATGTACTTAGATTATTAATAAATAAACCTAAAAATATTGTTTTTATTTTCATATTATTTCCAAAAAAGGTCCGGTAAGTACACAAAATCATCATTGCAGTTTTAAAGTAGTGAATCGTCGTACGTTTTCTGTGTACGTATTGCGTTTTTTACTGATCGGGGGTGAGGGTATGATGCAGCCCGGCGGCTCATTTTATCTACGTTGCCGTGATAGGAAGTATACGCTGCAACGTGTTTTTTAATTCGATGCTGACAACCCAGAAAACCAATCTGTTGATAATGTCATAATTATAATATCTATAAATGTTGAATTGACAAGCTTTTAAAAATTAAAAACATATTATACCATTATATTAAATTTATTTTTCGTATAAAATTTTGTTATAATTTTTACAGATGAAGTTATTTAATCTATTGTTTCTGATTTTCGTCAATGTATTAAGTAGTACACATGGAGCAAATATCTTAGGAGTGTTCCCTATCAATGGTCGCAGCCACTGGGTGGTATACGAAAGTTTAATGAAAGCTTTAGCTGCTCGAGGACATAATGTTACTGTAATCACATCATTCCCACAAAAATCTCCAATAGCAAATTATACAGATATTGATGTTTCTACTGCATTTCCAAGTGTGACAAATAAAATAGGAATTGATCTAGTACTCAATGTATTAAGTAACACACATATAAGCCAAATGTTTATTTCTAGTGTTCAATTAAAATTTTGCCGAGAAACTATAAAACTACCTCAAGTACAGGGGATGTTGAAAAGTGATATCAAGTTTGACGTAGTACGTTTTATGAGAAGGAATGAATTTAAAATAATTTAATTAAAAATTAAATTTACATATTATTTATAATTATAAATTTACAGGTTTTTACTGAGATATTTGGATCTGATTGTGACGTTGGATACGCATATTATTACAAAGCACCTTTAATATCTATGATGTCAAGTGGTATTTTACCTTGGAGTTATGATCGTGTTGGTGGTCCGGATAATCCATCGTACATACCTTTAATGATAATGCCAACTTCTGGTAAAATGGATTTTACTCAACGACTGAAAAACACCATTTACTATGTATACTTTAAAATTGTATGGAAAATATTTAGTGAATGGCCAGCTGATAAATTTTTAAAAGAATCATTCGGTCCAGAAACTCCATATATAAATGACATATTATACAACACATCAATGGTATTTGTAAATAATCATTTTTCATTAGATGGTCCACGGCCACTTGTACCTAACATGGTAGAAATTGGAGGCATTCATATAAAACATCCACAACCCATTCCTAAGGTAGATTAACAATTGGTATTTTATTTCTATTTTAAAGCTGTATAACACTGCATTACGTTTTTTATACTTACCTGAAATGTTATTTTATTAATTTATAATTTTTACCATGTCAAATCTAAAACACAATTATTCATAAACATATTACTAGAAGAAATCTAACATAGTAGCTATTTTGAAATTCATAGTTATCCTAAAGAGCAAAAAATAATATTTAGTCATCAAATAACATTATATTTCTCTCACCCCCATATAAGGTTTATTAATAATAATGTTAAGTAAACATATATAGAATGTTTGAAGCCGTTTTAATATTATATGAATATTTGTTGAATTCTTCATAAGATTAAAATTGATACATTAGTATCAATATTAATGAAATATGGTGAAAATAGTTGAATTAAAAATATAAAAGTAAGAATATTCTATATCTTCAATTCTATGTTGTCATTTGAATTCGTTGCAGAATTTAAACATCAATATAAAATTGAAGTTTATGAAATTTTTTGTAAGTATTCTTAATAATACGAAAATCAATCATATAACACAGTTTATAGTTTATCAAATTTGTAATTTTTTATTGATTGATTACCCATACCATTTTTAAATTTCTAAAATAAAAATTATTATATATATTTTTATCTTTTAGTATTGTTATGGTAGAAATTGGAATCATTCATATAAAACCTCCTCAACCCATTCCACTATGCCACGACCCCACTGTACTGGGTTTTTTTTTTTTTGTAGGCCAGGCAAAGCAATAGAAGCCATGTATGAACTGACTAAAATCAGTTGTAGGCCGTTTTGGCCCTCACACAAAAATGAAAACGGTTCTCGGGCTCCGTGATACCCAACGTTTATTGCATTTTTTTTGTTTTATTTAAACTTCGCATATTATAAAATATATTAACTTAATGTAGACAAAATTGAGTGGTATATAATTTGCTATTTACAGGATATTATAAAATTTATTGATGAATCACCGAATGGAGTTATGTTTTTTACATTTGGATCAATGATCCGTATATCAACATTACCTAAAGAAGTACTTCAAATATTTAAAGATGTTTTTGCCCAACTTCCAATTCGAGTTTTATGGAAATTTGAAGAAGAGATGCCTGACAAACCCAAAAATGTTTTCATTAGTAATTGGATGCCCCAGAGAGATATTCTAAGTAATTTATATTTATTTATTTTGATTAATTATGCAATATAACAATTGTAGTTTATTTATTATTTTTCTACGATTTTACTATAGATCATCCAAAATTACGTATATTTATGACTCATGGTGGACTCTTAGGTATAATGGAAGCTGTAAAATCGGGTGTTCCAGTAGTGGGAATTCCATTTTATTTTGACCAATACAGAAACATTCAAAATGTGGCTAATAATGGTGCTGGAATATCATTGGATTATCATAGTTTAACACGAAAATCATTATTTGATGCTTTAAATAGTATAATTACAAATAACAGGTGACAAAAATAAAAAGTATTAATTTGTTGATGTGAATATTTTAAAGTTTTATTAACATTTTTAGTTATTCTTCGAATGCAAAAAAATTATCACAACGATTTTCTGATCGACCACTTAATGCTACAGAAACAGCAGTTTATTGGACAGAATATGTAATAAGACATAAAGGCGCTAGTCATTTGAGAACAGCAGCAGTTGGAATGCCATGGTGGAAGTATTTCCTAGTTGATGTGATTGCTTTTATCGCTTCTATTGTTTTTATTGTTTTATATGTGATTTATTTCTTGTTAAAAACTGCGTACAAAAAGATAACAAAAAAATCTATACCAAACGATAAAAAAAAAAATAATTAATTTTGTAAATAAAATATCACTTATTTTTTATTGTGATTAGATTTTTTTAAAGGGTACATGTATTGTAAATTATTTATATATGTGATATGATAATCGTATAAGCTATATTCTACAATACGTGATCGATAAAATTAATTTTATTTAAACTAATCTCATTGTTGTAGATAAATTATAATTTTCAGCTTCTATAAAGAGTTACGAAGCATCCCTTACTACACGAAGATAGGTTTTTGTATACGAAATCGACTGAAAAGAATAATAAAGTTTTTTTGAAATGTTGGAAATATCTGGAGTGCCGATCCCATGTTGTCACCCGGTCATGTGCAACTCGCGAATATGTTCGTTATAAAGAGTTGGAATTTATTTATATTCATTTAAATTAAAAGTGAAATAATAATAAGTAGGCTGTGGAAGTCTTAAAACGCTCTGATGGGGGCCACTCACATGCTCCAAATTTAGAAGAAGTCAACGCTTTGAAGGTTAGAGGGAATTTAAAACGCCGAGCAGAAGCTTACCCCGAAGCTCCTCTAGCTCAGCTTCTGCGAACGGAACTACAAGCAGTATCGTCAGGTGTTCTCAGACAGCTTCTTGAATTAATAAAAGCAATTCAGCGTAAAAGTACAAAAAATATACCTTTTTTTTTTTTCCACGGTCGACATGTTGTTGGACACCCTGGAATTACCGTAAGGTATTGCTTCAAGGCGCTCAACGTCGCATTAAAATCACAACACGACGTGGCCTCCCCCGTTAACCGGACCCCAGAGTGGGATCCGTTGCCTAGGCCGCACCACGTGGAGGTGGGAGTAGGACTTTGCTATGGTTGGGACAAGTAAAACTCACAATAGACAATCACAAAATCACAGAACCTATCCACTCCTCTACATCGAGCAGCATGAATGTGCACGTCATCACCGGACGATGGACGCGCCCATCCATGCCGTCCAGTGCCTCCCCAATCTTAGTGGTCTGCAGGTCGGCTTGAGCCCCGGTACCTCGAACTTCCAGGAGCACTGCTCCTGTCTTGGTCTGCGGGTACCGGAGACCACAATGCCCAGCGCCTGGAGATCAACTTTCTCCATCACCGTCTTGATGACTGCCGAATATTTTTGGTCCTCTTTAAGAGGACCAATAATAACGGCTTCAGTTCGCGGTGCTCTCACCTTGATAGCAGGTCTCTGTGCTGAGGTAGGAAGCCCGGGGTTATAGTGAGGTTTAGCCGCCGCGTTTGGGGCCTTGCGGCGGACCACCTCCGACCACGCAGCCGGCGGTGGAACCTTAGGCACTACCACGGTTTGGGGCAGCGGTACTGGGGTGCGTGCTGCCTCTACCGTTACTGAGTCTGGGGCAGGTTCCCCTTCCCCACCGACGCTCTGCTTCAGCTTCTTGCGTCGCCTTTTTCGCACCCGCTTAGCCACCTTGGTGGTGGATAGCAGGCCGACGGGCGCCGCAGTCGTGCCGGGTCTCGTCGGCACGGCAGGCTCGGTGTCCAGGTCATCGACACCGATTATAACCGTGGTCATCGAGGAGTCCTCCGCAGTTTGCGTGTCCACCTCTCTGGTCGACCTATTGAGTAGGGCCGCTCCATCGGGAGCTCGTGGCCCGACTCTTCCCTCGAATGGGGCCCGATGGTCCCCACCGCTCAACGGCGGTCCCCCTCTCCTTTCCCTCACCAGTATTGCCTCGAGTGTCCTCGTCGCTTCCTGGACCTCTCTATGGACTCCCATGCCCCTCCGTTTGTCGATGACACCACGGAGTACTTTGACTTGGTCGGCAACTTCATTGACCTTGGTCGCAGTTGTTTCCTCCGTAGTATCATTCTTTCTTTTTTTGCGAGACTCGGCTGAGCTCCTTAGATCAGTCAGAGCCTGGCACGACAGGGAAATTTGCTCCAGAAGGAATGCCAAATGAGTGTTTGGCACCTCCTTCATGATGCTCCCTTCTACCTCTGCGGATCTGGAGAGAGAGACGAGGTGGTTGAGGCCGACGTCAAACGCCTCCTCATCATCACTCTCATCCTCCCGTACTGCCGCTCTCCTCTTCCCCGGGTGACGCTTTGGGGGCGTCTCCTCCCGGAGGGAGCTGAATGCCGGGGACTCTTCCCGATGTAAAGCGGATGTGCCTTNAGCTGAATGCCGGGGACTCTTCCCGATGTAAAGCGGATGTGCCTTCTTCTCCCAAAGATGGCTCCGCCTCCTTCCCTCCTGGTCCGTCTCCGGCACGCATGACTTCATCTTCATCGTCTTGCGCAGCGACGACGGAAGACAAGAAACCTTTTCCCTGGCTCGCCTTGCAGTCTCCTTCTGCTTGGTGGCACTTATATTCATACAGCTCAACCGCCTGTCGCAGTCCGTGTCCCATTATTTGTATTATC